TGAGATGGGCCTCAGAGTAGGGAGAGAATCGTGGGGGCTGGTTCTCATGTTCATTGACTTGGGGGGCTATTATCAGGGCCTATTCCCACACTGACCTTCTCCTCCTTCCCCAGCACTGGGGCCCCAGGGAGTTTGGCCTCTTGCACTCAAGTGTCAAGGGCCAGCTCTGCTCTGAGGGGAGGGACGTGGGGCTGACTCAGGCACATCCCCCTGCTGGGAATACTAGTGGCCTCCCTTTGTGAGCAGCACAAGATATAACATCTGGATTCTCTTTGCCACCGAGCAGGGGTGAGGAACTTGAACGGAGCTGAGGGGCAGACGCCTGAGGAAGAGCCTGGTAACCTGGAGCCACCCAGGCCTTTCCCAAGGACATCACGGAAGAACCATTCCAAGAAATCTGAGCGAGGAAGGCACCAGAAGAGACCGTGCAAGCCACGAAGGCAGAGGAAGAACCTGACCAGGAAGGAGCCAGCAACCCCAAAAAGCCAGCAGAGGAGATCCAGGTCACATCTAAAGCCGCCTGCAGAGGGACAATCTGAGCCCAGAAAGACCCTATATACCTGCCGTGTGTGCAGGGAAACATTCAAGGTGCAGAGAGACTTGATAAGTCACCACTGGACGGTTCATAGGAGACATAAATTGTATCACTGTAGCGAATGTGGGGAGAGCTTCAGGAGAAAGAAGGCATTCAAAGCCCATGGGAAAATCCACAGAAAGGAGAGAGCCCATCCCTGTTCTGAGTGTGGGAAAATATTCAACCGGGCATCCCATCTCATTGCCCACCAGAGAATCCACACTGGAGAGAGACCCTATTGCTGTGCTGAGTGTGGAAAAAGATTCTTCCAAATATCAGCTCTTACCATGCACAAGAGAATCCACTCAGGAGAGAGACCCTATGCCTGCGCTGAGTGCGGGAAGTGCTTTATGTATTCGTCCACCCTTAACAGACACCAGAGAATCCACTCAGAAAAGCGGCCCCATTGCTGTAACCAGTGTGGGAAAGGCTTCAAACTTACATCAAGTCTTACTAGACACCTGAGAATCCACAGTGGAGAGAGACCCTTCCTGTGCCACGAGTGTGGGAAAAGATTCAACCTGCAAGAACATCTCATTAGACACCAGACAATACACACTGGGGAGCGACCCCATCGCTGCGCTGAGTGCGGGAAAAGTTTCAGTCTCCTTCAAAGTCTCCGGAGACACCAGAGAATCCACAGTGGGGGGATCCCTCATCACTGCGCCGAGTGCGGGAAAACATTCAGTTGTCTAGAAAATCTCACTAGACACCAGAGAGTCCACACGGGGGAGAAACTGCATCGCTGCACTGACTGTGGGAAAGGCTTTGTCCGGCTACATCATCTCACTAGCCACCAGAGGATCCACACTGGGGAGAGACCCCATTGCTGCACTGAGTGCGGGAAAAGATTCACCCAGTTGTCAGGCCTCACCACCCACCTGAGAATCCACACGGGAGAGCGACCCTATCCCTGCACTCAGTGTGAGAAGCGCTTTGCTCACTCGTTGTCTCTTGCGAAACACCAGAGAACCCATGGGGCGGGGACTCCTGACCCTTGAGTTTGATGGGGGGAAACCTCTGCCTGTACTCACCTCACCCTTCTCCCCACATCCAATGCACAGGAGGGAGATCCTGCACCTGCCCTAAAATGCTCCCACCTCCCCATTAACCAGGTACTAGATTAGAGTTTTATTGGAATGGATATTTCAGTTTTCCCAGAGGTGGTTCTGGACTTAACTGAAACCCAGGAAGGAAGTGTTCCTAAGCTTGTGTGTGGTAACCTGCATATTGCCAGTGAGGAAAGCTGCCGAGGGAAAGAGAGGGCCTCCAACCCGGCTTTAACCACGGAATGTAGCAGATTGCCGGAAAGGGGGTTCTGTGAAAATCTTCTTCATGTTCCAGGGATGATTCTGGGTGTAAGTGAAACTCAGAAGGAGTTTGTTGTGGCTCCACAGAGCAACGCTTCTGTAGAGCAGAAAAAAGCTGGGTTGTTGCTTAGAGAAGCTCCTAGGGAGAAGAATCCTCATGGTAGTTTTTCCAAACAGTTTGCTGCAACTGATGGGTGTAAAAGTGATTTGGGTGAGTTAACTCAGGGTGAATCCATTATATAGAGAAAGCAACAGTTGGTTTGGGAGACTGGTTTCAGTTCCTAACTGCCAAAGTCTTTGAGGTGTCTACATCCACTGACCCCTTGCTTTAGAAAGACCCAGTGTGGCTAGCCTAGAGGAGGTTTCAGATTGGGGGGTGGAATTGTTAGAGAAATTGAACAGCCCTGTAGCCAAGTGGCTGGGCTGGGCCATCATGTTCTCCAGGCT